ATTAGGGCATTCATGATGTTTTACTTGAGAGCCAATTTTTCACACATGTCCCATGACGTTTTTCAATGCCATGTTCCGTGCATGGCTCAAGTGGGTGGTGAGGCAGGGAGCCCTCTTTTGTTCCCAATGTCGATTCTGAAGCCGCAAGAATCCAGTGCATTCCTCATCTCAGGCGCAGCCAATGCGGGAGGGCACACCAGAGAGGGGATCTCGCAGAGTTCGCGCAGTGACCGGGCGGCCCCTGAAGATCCATCCACACCACGGACAGGGACGCCATACGCCGCGCAGCAAGAAAGGGCGCCTGCGGGACCTCCGCCACCCGTGCCAGCCAACCAAGATTCCTAGGCCTTCGCTGGAAGTACTTCATGAACGCCAGCCAAACCCTTGTGGGGTGTATGCCACACAAGCGGCCGGTGACTGGGACCAGCCACCTACCAGGCTGGACGGAATGGGCGCATGCCCGCCAGGTGAGGGCATGCATGGCCCTGCAAGCGCTTCAGACGCATGCCGTTATGCAGAACGACTCCTGAGCCCGTTGTCAGTTCATGATAGACTAGCAGGCCAATCTTTCTTCGCGATTTAATTGCTAGGGACTTCGCCGTCTTGCAAGTAGGCGAATACGCAGTGCAAAACACTTGAGGCTGCAAGGCTGCCTGGTTTGGCCCGCGGGGCCTCTCCAGGTAGTAGCGAATAGCTCGTTCACTTGTAGCAATTAGGATCAGTCTTAGTGAGTGGCCATGGATGAAGAAGTACCTCCCACGATCCCTATGCGTGCTGAATGGGATGACGACTTTCTCCCCACCACGCCCGGCGAGCAGAATCTCACCTGCATCCTGAACGCTCTCAGCCACTTCCAATGGGTATTGCAGGATTGGGCCAGTGTGCTCCGCAAGCAACAAACTGTCCTTGCGGCTCAGTTCAAAGAGCAGTCTGCTGCTGCGCTGGAGCGGATGGAGCGCCTGCTGATGCGACAACCTTCAGAACCTTCTGACCCCTGGCGCTCGCAGGGAAGGGCCATGCGGGCCGGTGCAAAGTCGGCTACGACTGGAAAAAAACTGCAAAAACAGGCAAGCCAATAAGAAGGCAAAGAAGCCAAGAAGGCTAAGAAGAAGTGCAAGCAAGCCAAAAAGGCCAAAAAGGCCGGGAAGGCTGCTAGAAGAGGCGGTATTGCCACACACTCTTGGTCCGATGGTGAAGTTCACCAGGGAGAGGCTTGGTCGGAGGATGCCAGCAAAGCCGCGATGCCGGCCAGCCCCCCTCATGGCTGCATAAGGACATCAAGTAAGGCTCCTGCCCTTGGAACCGCCAATAGTTCCAATGCGCTGACTGTCTGGCATCCAACACATGCCACGCATCCCAGAGGTGACCCGGCTGCCCAAGGAAAAAGGGGGTACTACTGCAGTTTGCTTGTTGTGGTAGGTCTTGGACAGGAGCAGTGCAACCACACAGAACCCAAAGGTTGTAACCATGCCATTGAATCCCATGATTGCATGCTGAAGCCATCTCTCATCCAGAGAGAGATAACAAATTTTTGTTCCCAGCCACCCGCCTTCCTGGGTCAGGACCCAGGAGTGCAAGCATGCAGACACAATCTTGATCGTGCCTGGACCGTTGCAAAAGACAGGCGTGCTGCAAGAGTTGAGTTTTAAAATTTTGCTGTTCGAACTTTATCTTGAGCAGTTTTGGGACTATTAAATTCTTGAGTGAATAATTTTCCCAAGCTTTGTATATATATATATGTATATATTTGATGCATTCACCCGCGACATCTTGGGATATCTTATTCTGGACCGAATCAACCTGGATACTGGTTCCCCCCCAAAATCACGTTCCCTCCTCCTGCCTAACCAGCCAACGGGAAGCTCCTAGCTAACAAGACTATGTATATATTTATATGATTTGGATGACAATGAAACTATAACAGCGGATTGTGCGCGCCGTCTTGTTAAGGTTAGCAGCTGCGTGTTGCTCTTTGGTATTGCCGGTTGGCTTAGAAGCATAGATCGGGATAAGCACCGATGAACAACGTGAGCCAGGCCGCTACCTGATTGATTGGAACGCAAAGAGGATTCGAATCGCTCCTGAAAAGATAGCAGGCGTGGCATGGAGATCTTCCTTTTCCTTGTAGGCCGTCGGCCCAACAGCAGCTAACGGCGTGCTTTCACATGATTCCAATAAGACAGTAGTCGGTTCTGGGCATTGATCAGGTTATTTTGTCCAGTTCGCGGCGTCATGCATCCTGCTTTACAAGATTTGGAAGCACAAGTCCATCTACGGATTAAGCATTGACACTCAGGCAGGTTTAAACTACTTGGTGCATCGTTCGTTGCAATGATGTTGTGGCTGCAAATGTTTGATACATGCAATGCTGCAGGCCTCGTACATGCTGGCTGTTGTGGCACGTTGCATCTGGGTCCGCCTTAGCTGCTCCAGATGCGCAAGTGCAAACAGCTTCACGTCCCTTGATGGGCGCAGTCGATGGAGACAAGATTGGTGGAGACAAAGTTTGCTTACTTAGAGCTTTCGCTGTCCACAGTCCTAGCCTCAAGAACAGAAGTTCAATGAAGATTTGTTTGGCCACGATTTTCCTTCCCCGCTCAGGCAGTGGCTGTGGGTCTTAGTTTCATGTGCTACCAGCTGCAGCACACTGCGCCCAAGCAGCTTGAGCCTGTGAGCCTGAAGAAAAAACACACATCAATTCAACGATTGAGTCCTCGATCCTTGCACTTGTGTTGAGGTCCACTCCGTTTTTGAGAGCGTGCGCCTCTCGCTGCCTCTCTTTGCTCCTTCGCTCCTTGGTTTTTGTTTTGGGGTCGTCTTCCAGGTACGCGACGGCTCCAGCAGCTTTGGTCCTTGCCTTCTTCTTTCACCCCGGGGACGAATGGCGTGCGGCTTCGTTTTGCTTTTGGCTTTCGCTTTGCAGAAGTCTCTTTGCTTTTTCTCGAATCATAGGCTGACCATGCAGATCCTGGTCTCGTACACAATGCATGCCGCTTAGACCCTTTCGCTGGCAGCTATGTCATTTGCCATTTCTTGATTCCATCCTCTCCTTCGAATGTTTTGAGGTTTCAGGAGGCTTTCGGGCTCTTACCGCAATTGTGGTTGATGCGGAAAATGCATGAGGCGGCAACATGAGGCATTTGTGGGCACAGATATCCTGCTTGAAGTCGCCGGGTGAGAGGTAGAGCCGTTGACTTCTCATTATGCCTGGCTCTGAGAGTGCAAGTGCTGCAAGTGGGTTGCAAAGTCGGAAGTCAATGGCTGAAGCGGAGGTCGGGCTGATTGTAGCACCTTGGCATGTAGCTTGCAATGCCTTGCAATGCCTTGCAATGCCTTGCAATGCCTTGCAATGCCTTGCACTGCTGCCTTTTATCCAGACTTGTTGAGGTCGCCCGCTTTATTCGTATGTGCTTCTGGGGGAAGATGTACTTCTTGGGTCACATGCTCAGCGGCCTCCAGAGTGTGTAGCCATGTAGCCTGCATGTGGAGCTTTGCGGCAGGAGAGCACTTCTTACAGCTCTTCTTTGCAGATGCGTGCTGCTCAGTTCGTTCTTGCATTTGGACACAAGTTTCCGATGCTTTGTCCTGCAAGTTTGACAAGCATGACGAAGCGCACAGAATTGGAGGGTCACAAGTCACTGAGGGCCATAAACATGAAATCGCCTGGGACGAAAAAGGGACATCACTTGGGACGAGTGATGATGATCACGGCTGTGCTTAGCCGTCGATACTTGGGATCCCTGTGGCTTTGCTTGTGACTGCGTCGTGGCCCCATTTCCTCAAACCCATGTGAATATGACCCTACTTCAGGTTAGGTTTGGGTGGTCACGCTTTAGGATCCCTGTGACTCTGCTTACGGTTTCACTTTGGTTTCATTCCCTCATGTGAATATGACCCTATCTATGGTTTTTGCTGAGTCACTTGGGACCAAGGGACTGTACTCAGGATTTCGCTTTGAAGTCCCTCCTGAGGATCCTTGTGACCCTGCTTAGGCTTCTTGGGATCAGGGGACTGTACTTAGGGTTTCGCTTTGGGTTCGCTCTTTGGCATCCCTGTGACTCTGAGGATTTGTTGGGGTTCCCCTCCTGGGACCAAGGGAAGGGACTCTACTTAGGGTTATTTGAGAGCCACGCCAGCATGACCCTACTGAGGGTTTTGAATTGGGGTCATTCCCTGGGATCCCTGTGACTCTGCTTAAGGTTTCTCTTTGGTGTCATTCCCTCAGGCGCGCGTGAATATGACCCTACCAGGGTTTAGGTGGGGGGTCACCTCTTGGGACCAAGCGATTCTATTTAGGGTTTTCGCAGTGGGGTAATTCCAAGGGAAAAACAAGAGCTCGGGCTTTGGAATCTTTGGAGTGCTTTGGAGTGAGTGTTCTTTGTCAGGGACGGAATCCTCGTATTTGGTTTAGCCAGATAAACAATCCAAAAAATGCACTGCCTGGGATATTTCAAGCTTAATTCGCCTTCGCGGCTAGTTCGGCCAAGTGGCAGCCAAAAAATCACTCCGGCCAAGAAGAGCATGAAAACACTTAAGGCGAGTCAACAGCAGGGGTCAGTGATTGTTTCTCTTCCTAAGCAAGCTCACACCCGAATAGGATGAGATCAGAGCAATTACCCTCGATATTTTGAACGGTGTGCTGGCTATGCTTTGTGATTGTGAGGCTTGACGTTTCTTGCCCGGCTATTTGTTCTTTCATGATTCATGCCCATGTCAAGTCTCAACAGGTCCTAGGTTGTACACGGATAAGTTGAGGGCCCGTCCAGGACGTCCCAGCGTGGAGGTTTTGTGTGTGTGATCAGCCATTTTGAGGTCCTCCACACGCTGCTCTCTGCCGATTACATGTATTTGTGGTGCAGGACATGTCTGCAGCGATGGCGAGCTAAGTTTGAGCGTGGTGAAGCGAGGAAATTGCAGTACGGAGGCCGCCTCATCTACAGCCAAAGTGCAGTCAAGCCCCCAGCGGTGCCCAGCGAGGGTGTCAGCATGTGTTGTAAATTTGGGGCGAGGTCTGAGACCTCAGCGCTGGCGGCCTTGTGGCCCTTTGAGCGAGAAAAACCTCCGGCCAAAGGTCAAAAAAACACCGACTTCCGACGTTCCCACTGATGATAGCTTCTTCCACTGTGGTTGTGAGGAATGTTCCAACATTTTCATGACCTGATGTCTGTACATCCCGGCTTTCCAAAGAGTCTCCATGTGAACATGTGAAGATGTCCTTTTTGTTTTTGAAGGTGAGGGAATATGGCTAGCCGTTACTAGCCGCAGTGGCTCAAGATCGGAATGAGCAGAGATGGGGGCTGGGGCAGCGGCTGGGGCAGCGGCTGGGGCAGTGGCTGGGGCAGCGGGGGTGAGGATGGCTGGGATGGGGATGGACACTGGAGCCAGGGACTCGGGTCTTCACCTGCCAACTCCACTTCGCCCTGGCTTGCAGCAAGCTGCACGCCTTCGTCCGGTTCTACCTCTGCTCCCTCAGGTCCTTCAGGTTCCGCGGCTCCCGCAGCTCCCGCAGCTCCCGCGGCATTTCTGCAGATGATGGGCTTGGGCTGTGGATGGTCACCCTCGATGGTCTCCAACATGATGATGAACATGAACATGCCTGACATGCAATATCTTCAGCCTCCTGAACTAAGTGAGCCTCGCGAAGAGAAGAGATACGATGGCACTGTCAAGTGCTTTTATGGTGAAAAACATACGGGCCATGGCTTTATCTACTGCCCAGAGATATACAACAGAACAGGTCAAGATGTCTACCTCCATGCAAGACAAGCGCACCGCTGTGAAGTGGGAGACGAAGTGAGCTTCACCGTGGTCTTCAATTCCAGGAGAGAGCCCCAAGCTCGCTCGGTGGTCAAGAAGGAGGAGGAGATGAAGTTTCTGACGAAAAAGCGGGAGGAGGCCGAGAAGCAAGCGAACGCCCTCCAGCAGAAGCGAAGTGCCCACACCACCTCCGGCGGCGAGCCCGCCAGCGTGATGACCGAGGAGCAAGCCAGGAAGTTTCAGAAGTCCCTCAAAAGAAGATGACACCCTGTCCCTGAGGTCTGACCGCACACGAGACTCCGCAGTCTGGAATCTGGGAAAAAGAAGCCTTTTTGTTGCCGCTGCCTTCATCGCGAACTGCATTGAGTCTTGTATTTGTTGTGCCAGTTTGTGTGTGTAGTGTTGAGTGTGTAGTGTTGAGTGAGTCTTGAGTGAGTTGCAAGGCTCACACGGGGTCTCCAACTGAGATCTCGCACGAGCATACGAGCATGGACTAGCCGCCGGCAAAGTGAAGGATGCAGAGGCTGCAGCCTGAGGTGTGGAACTTGCTTTTAGACCATTTTCAGGGCATACGGAAACCGCTTTCGACCAAGTCTGGTTGACGCGGGCGCATGGTATGACAAGCAGATGAAGGCTTTGGACGTTCCTCACTCTTGCACCGTCAAATGGATGTGAAATGATATGATGAAGTTGAAAAAAGTTACGAGATGTCACGAGATTCGTAGGTTCGGCCTCTTTGGACCAAAGCAGTCACCTCCTCCGTACTGGCAGCCTGCAGCAGTGCAAAGCTCCCAGGGCACAGCATAGGGCTCTGAAAGATCATCTTTTTCCTCACTGCTTGCTGAGGCGGTGTCGCAAGCCCTTCGGCTCCTTGGCTTGGAACTGAGAGCCGCCTTTTCTGAGCTCATTGGCTTTCGCCTGTCCAAGGCGCAGAGCCTCGCTGAGAGAGCTGCTCAGCTTTGCGGCTCAGGCCGAGACAGAGAGACAGAGGAAAGCGGAGATTTGAATTTTTCGATGCTTGGAAGCTCGACGTGGCTCAACGTGTGTGTGGTGTTTTTTTCTCTTTTGTTGGGAAGGCGGCGCCGCCGGTGTCGCACTTCTGGTTCCAGCTTCTGGACGCGCGGCTCGGGCCGCTGCCTGAGCAGAGATGCCAGGGTTGTGGAAGGAAAAGCTGAGAGAAAAGAGAAAAGCCCTCTCCTTTTTCTTTCAGCAAAAGGCTGCTAGGCTGCTTGGCTGCTGGCTGTGCCGCCTCAGGTCCGGGAGGATTTTCACGAAGACGCTCCTGGACTTTTCTTTTCCCTCTTTGGCCCTCTGCTCTCCCGCTCTCTCTCTCGCTCCTCCGCTCTCTCTCCGCTTTGCTTAAGCCGCCTTCAGGACCAGGTGCTCTTCCGGCCTGTGATGATCGCTTATGGCTTCGCCAGCTTTGCTTTGAAGCTCAGACAGTCCACCTGTGCTTTTTCGGGGGTCAGGTACTGAGTGGCCTGCTCAGTGGGAAAACATGGAGAGAGGCTCCGAGTGGAGTGCATTCTGTGAGCATCTAACCAAGCTTTGCAAATTTGCAATTGCAGCAATTGCAAACTGGACTTCCGGGATCTACTTCATGAAAGGCCTTGAGATCACGAAAGCTGGGAGGTTCCATCAAGCCTTGCGATAGTTCCTGTTCACCAATTTTTTCTTTGACGCGCATGGGCGATCACATCCGAACTAAAGTTTCGAGGAGTCAATGGTTGGTTTGGTGCGAGGCTTGGCCACAAGTTCACATGTACCTGGTACCCATGTCCGCCAGATACCAATGGTCTCGAGATGGGGCTGCATGCACCTGCCTTGAGATTGAATCCGTGCTTACCAAACCTGTCAAGTTAGGCAGGCAGCAGGGTATCTCTCGTCTCCACGCGCAAGACTCGAGAACTAACTCCCTACACCTAGAGAAGAAATTCGTGACTTGGAACCACATGTTTTCTGCATACGACGCTCAGCTTTTGGTTCGATGTCAAGGGCCTTGGTAGCTTCAAGTGCTACTCTTTTTCTAACGCCATCCACGCCCGTGTCAAAGAAGCGCCGTGTCATCACCACGATGGATGGCTACACAGATCATTTTGTTTGCAAATGGGGGGGCCCCCCAGCCCCCCCGCCGTTTTTTCAAGGCCGTCCATGCTTGAACACTGTTCGTCATTTAGACCATTTCATCATTTCCCATGATGTTCATCATTGTTCTTCATTTTCGATGTTTTTGTGTTTGGTGAATGCCCTCAGGAGAGTTGGTATCAGTAACTATCGAGAAGGAGGGACTACTTTGGGTCAGGTTCTGCCTAATGCTCATGGGAACATCATCAAGATTGTTATAATCTGAAGCCATAGTGGCACCCAGGAGGACACACAACAAGCTCCAAAATCACGCCACCATCAACCCTGAACCAGAAAACACCTAACCTCCTGGCCTTGACCCTCCAACCCTCCCTGGAGCTACTCCGAAAAGGGCGAGGGAGGTCCTAAAGCAGTCCCACACTCACGCACTCTCGATTTGTGCGAGTCATCCTTGAGCCATACATTATGGCGTGTCATTCTTGCGCAGGGGTCATGCTATGCTTGACAGATGCGTGTCATCCTTTGCAGGGGCCATGCAGATTGCACAACATGTCTGGATAATCACAGAGTTTGATAGTTTTCACAATTCTGCATCATATACATCATTGAATCATGTTGCATCATGTTCTATCATTTTCACCACTTTCCATGATTTGCCATGATTTTCATCATTTTTCATGACTTTTCGTGATTTTCATGTGTTTCATATTTTTCCGGATTTTCGTGATTTTTCATAATATTTCAGGAGTTTCATCTTTTTCCCTGCCATATTGGACTCATGCTACGTGAGCACTCTACATTGTACAGGCCACATTAGCAACGCTCGTAGGCGTGTGTTTCTGTTATGAGTACACCTCTGTTGTTGTAGGGGGGTGTAGGGAAGCTCCGAAGCAGGTCCAGCGCAACCTGAGTGAGAACTTGGTGAAGGCATACCAGAAGAAGAAGTCCTGGTCCTGGCTATCAGCAAAAGGCCGTGTCTTTGGCTGTGCCTTTGGCGAGGTGGTCGTCGCTTCCTGGAAAGTCTGGCCAGCAGCCGTGCTGGTGACGCAAAAGCCGGAAGCTTAGAGCTTCAAAGAGCTGAGCTCTTCTAAACTCCTTAAGAGTTGCTTGGTTGAAGTATGCCTCACTCTTAATGCTCACGCTCTTTGCCTGCTTTTTCTTAGGTATGTGCCAACCCTGTACCAGTCTTGCACCCGGCGCTTCCTGATGACATGTGCGGCAAATGATGTCACACAGCTTTTGCGCTGGCTGCAACTGCATGTCTTTGGTAAATTGTACGAAGAGCTACCAAGAACCCTACATGAGAGTTTACCAGTGGGCGTGACCTCCAAGAACAAGTTCTCTGCACTTGAACTTTTGCATTTTTTGAGATTGTTGGCTGGAGATGCGGTTTCATGGACATGCGTCTGCTGAGATGATTGGACATGCGCAGTATCCGCTCAGTACAGTACAGACTGCACTGCTGGCAATTTCAATGCCACATGGTGCTGTAATCAGTGGCTTCCAAAGTTGAGAATCGGCTGCTTTGAAGTCAAGGGGGATGCACATCTTTGTTGACAGATGGAGCAGCTGACACATGCTGTGAAATCCCAGCCCAGCAACGCGAAGATGCTAGCCATCCAGCGGAGGCATGACCACAGGCATCAGCTTCACAACGTTTTTCAAGTTTTGTTAAGAGGCCATAACTTGTGTTTCTGATGTGGTTAACTTTGCCGGCTCCTGAGGTCAACCTTTACCGATGTCTTGGCCTTCTTCTGGGATGTTCCTTTTCAGAAATTCAAAACGTTGTCGTTTGTGCCATGGCAGCGATGGCAATGGTGCCAGGTCTACGAAAGCTCCATGGTGAGTCAGTGAGACATTGGTGTCACACCTGCAAGTTTGCAGGTTGCAAATGATAATGCCATCGCGTGCTCGTCATTTTGTAGAATGGTGTATACGATTTTTCTTCCTTTATTTTTTTTGGGAAGATGGTCTGCACGCTTGGCACGTGTCGTACGTGTCGTGCTCAAAGTGGCACAAAGCCAGGGGCATCCCGGAGGGCGGAGACTCGTGGTAATCAAAGCAGCAAAACTTCTTGTTTGTCTTAGAGCTTTGCGCTGCGCATGCTGGGCTCACTGCGTTCCCACTGAAAGCCTCAGCTCAAGGCCAATCCATGCTATGCAAAGACAGTTCCAAATTTTGTCACAGCCAAATTCAAGGCCTAAGAAAGACGACTAGAGGCATTTTGCCCCATGTCTGCTCGGAGCATGTGGAGAATGCAGAGACGGTACGGAAGGCCTGGTTTGGACCTGGCATTTTTGTCCAGCTCTTCAAAGCCTCAGGGCTCTGCTAGCCCTGCTGGTGCTGGCGCTGGCGCTGCCAGCGCTTGGAGCGTCTCTCCGAGCTGACTGCGGCCCCGGCTACGGAACACCAAAACCCAACACCTTCCCGACACACCTCCAACTTCAAGCGCCAGGTCTCGTTCCAGGGCGGCGTGCCATGGTCTCAGAGAGAGGAGGGAACGAACAGGACAGCATGCTCTTCAGTTGTTTTGTGGTGCGGTGCTTTTTGTTTGAGGCGCTTTGAGCTCTGCGATGCGCTTCGGCTTCTTGGTGTGTGTTTTGCCAGCTGAGGCGCTCTTGGTGGTGGCTGGGGCAGCTGCGTTGGGTCCGAGACCTGCAGTAGCTGCTCCTCCGACTTCGCCCGCTGCTGAGCAGTGAGCACTTCGCCTGTGCCTCCCGGCCTCCCGGGACTCCCGGGACTCCCGGGTTGGGGATGAAAGAGTTGACTGAGTTGACTGTAACTGTGAGACTCTGTAAGTCATGTGAGGCTCAAGGCTGACCAAGATAGATTGGTGGCGGGCTACAAGGACTTGCCAGGGACCCACCCAGTCCTGAGTTCATGTGCTGACGTTCTCCGCTCCAAGGGTCTACATGATGCAGAACTTCAATAAAGTCACAAGGAAATGCGACAAAAATCAGGCGGGGCAAAGACACGAGAGCTTGTGTCTATGGGAGAAGATGTGGGGAGAGTGGGAAGGACCGAATCTCCCAGCCACTCCCCTCTGGCTTGGCAATGGGCCTCAGCTTGCCCGTGTTTTTTTTTGGGTTGGCTTTTTTTGCCTCGCTGAGGCAGGGCCCGATGCCTGCATCGCGCAGCCACTGCAGGCCAGGCTGCCAGGCTGCGTGGAATGCGGCAGCACCGTAAGCGCCGAAAAAGGTCTCCCTTTCTCTTAGGTGCGGAAATACCTGGGGCAGACGTCCACTAAAGCCAACCTATTTGACACCAAGCAGATGCTCGTGAACTTCGAGGCGAGCACCAGTGTCCTTGCTCCAGAGATTTCATGAGATTTGTGGCCCAGTTGTCGGGAATGGTGCCTGCCGGCAAGGATGATGAGTGCCTCCCTAGCAGACACTAACCACTATGTCCTCTACAAAGCCAGTTCAGGTACGGAGATTTGGTGGAGGATTTCGAGAAGTTCAAGCGCGAGGTGTGCACCGAGCGTTTATCATCACAGAAGAAGCCATTTAGTGAGCTTCATGCAAGCTCCTTTTAATGCTGCTGAGAACTCAAACAAGAAGATGGCGCACTTGGGAAAATTCAATTGCGAAATCTTGTGAAATTCGACCTCCAGGCAGATGAATGGGCTTATTCCTCTTCCTGGGCAGAGGCGTGCAGGGCGTGCAGGGCGTGCAGGAGGAAGTGAGGAGATCGGACTTGGGAGATCTTGAGGCCAATCCAGGAGGTGGCCGTGATCGAACCGAGGAGCTTTTTCAAAGCTTTGCGGAGCCATGCCACGCGCCAAAGCCTTGACCAGTGAGGATTATCTCTTGAGATCCAAGACCCTCGCAGACAAAGCCACGAAGACTTTAGGCGCGCGCTGCGTGGCGGTACCAGCGAGCGAAGGTGCTGGACCGTGTGTTTGTCCTCCACTGAACTGAGGTCTGATTGTGGATATCCTGGGTGTGACCGAGAACATCTACCAGTGACAGCTGCCGTGCTCGAAATTTTCCACGCCTGTAAGCGTGCATAAAAGAACAAAGAGATCGATTTGTCGCACTTGGAGCCGTGCTTTTTGCTTGCTGCAAGCTGGCATGTCTTTCCTCACAGCAGATCGGATCCTGAAACAGAAGGCGTTGCACTGGCATGAACACGAACGAAGAACTTGCATGATTTGTGGAGGAGTTGAAAAGGATGGACGTGGACTCGCCATGTGGCTCGCATGGCTCGCTCGGCCAGTCCTTACCGGGCTCCCTCCCGGCGCGCGGCAGCGGCAGCCTCGGCAGCCTCTCGAGGCTTTCGCTTTGCGCATTTTTTTTGCACAGCGATCAGCGTTTCTCAGCCTTTCTGTGAATGTGTCTTCATGTATAGCCAGGCTTTTGGCTGCCTCGCCCCTGAACTCCAAGTGTGCCTGCTGCTGGGCTCGGCTTAAAGTCAAGGCTTCACGTATCTTCACTTCAAGTTGTTGGGCTCAATGCCTGAGGTGGCAGCTGGCTGTTTCTGGGTGACGCTTCCTTGCAGTTCAAGTGGGCTTTGGGATGATTTGTATGTGAGGACATCCCTGCACAGCTGTAGCTGGCAGGATTGGCTTCGGTCCCTTTGTGAGCCATGGCCAGAAGAGGAGGCACGGAGATGGAGATGAAAAAGGCCAAGACTTATGACATCTTATGACTTATGCAGCTTCTGTGTCGAGGGGGGCCTGCCACCTGCAAGCTCTGCAATGAGAGGAGCCCGGGCATGCGCGGCTGCAGCGACTCCACGAAGAACGGCTCCGCCCCTCAACGCACAAAATGCACAAACATGCACAAACATTCGAAGGGAGTTTGAGAGACCTTTTGACTGGTTTGCAGAATCTTTGAGAACGTCCCTTGTGCAGGACAGGGAGGCCCGAGACCTATCCCGTAATCAGGAAAAGTGCCCGAGACCTAGGAATGCAGGGCCAAACGAAGCTCAGACTCATTGAAGATCGACACATCAGAGCGAAGGCCAGAATCGGAGGTTGACCACCAATAGCAGCTAAATAGCACGCCTGACCCACAGAGTCCTTGCAAACGTCGCCCCATTCCCCAAACACGAAACATCAGCTGGACGACGAACATGCTTCGTCAAACAGCCAGTGCACAGGGAGCTTGAGACCGACTTTGAAAGAAGCAAGACCATGGCTCCTGCGCAACTGTGACCCAAAAGGTTTTGAGAAAGTTCGTCTCTTGAGGCGAACGTGAAGCGGCCCAAAAGGCCGCCCGGGCTGAGGCTGCGGCGCAAAAGCAGAAAGAGCAGCAGCAGGCCTCCTCGCCTTAGCACCGCTTTGATCTTTTGCTTCCTCCTCTTTTGCTTCGCCTTTTGCTTCCCTCAGGCGCAGGAGTGGCAGCAGGAACTCCTCCTGCTCGAAACCAGGCGAGCGCACTTGGAAGGCGGGACAAACACAGCCAAAGCACAAAGGTCCTCCTTTCTTCGTTTCAGACACGCATGTTGGAACAGCCTCTCCTTTGAAAGGGGAGGAGCTGGAGAAGGACTGCCTGTCTTACTTTGCTTCAGCGGAGCTCCTGACGGAGCCAAAGACCGAGGACCGTGCTCCCCTGCTCCCCGCTCCACTCTTCTTCGGGTAGACCGCTAAGTTACAATGTTTTGTGGGCCTGGGAGGGTTTCCATTCCGGTACGGTCAGCGTAAGTGCGTAAGCTTGAAAGTCTTGCAGCTGTCAGGGGCAGCCAGCATCATGTTTAGGCACGCCAGGCCAGGCTCGCAGAGGGTAACTCGAATCAGACAAGGCTGATCACGGCTCCCAAAGTGGCCAGGCCGATCAGCGTTTGTCTTAACCAGCCACCCACCGTGGCTTTGCGTTAAGGCTTGGATGCTTTTCTCACCGCACTGCTTCTTTTCTCATAAGACTACGTCGCAGTGGAGAAACCTTGGCCCCAAGGTCAGTCTGGGTCCACTGCATGTTCTCAAAATGCCTCCAATACATTCCAATACTTCAAGATGTTCTGAGCACCACTGCAGGGTCGATTGTAGTTGCACAGGTTTAATTCTAAGTAGATACCTTTGCCACATGCGAGGGGTCAGTATGTTGAGACTGGGAGCCTCTGATTCCTACATGCAGCACATGCATCAAACATCGATCGCCAGGGACACTCGCAAAGCAAAGCACGATGTCATTTCAAGCAACGCAAAGCTAACATGGACCATTGCTTTCTTTGCTTGGAAATGAGCGGATGAGCAGGAGTGGTCGTGCCCCAAGCATGAAGTAGAGCTGGAGGATGACGAGGAGGAGGAGGGATTCAAAGTTGTGCCAGTTGCCAGCTGAAAGAATGCTCTTTCTGTGCGAGGAGCAAGAGCGAGCCGGATCACGATGGCACGCCTTGGTGTCCTGAGCGAGCAAAGAGGTAGCAAAAGCATAAGAAGAAGTGCTTCACGGATTCATCGTATAGAAAGAATCAAAGAAGAGTGTCGCGTGTCTGCGTGTCTGCGCGTCTGTGTCGGCAGAGCCGAGCCGAGCCCAACCCAGCTGAGGAGCCGTTGCAGGCTTGGCGCGCCAGCGTCCTCTCGCGGGGAGCCTCAAAGCAGAGAGAACACACGAAGAGCGAAAGCAGACAGTGAAAGAAAAGAGAGAAGAAGAGAAGAAGAGAAGAAGAGAAGAGAGCGGGAGTGTGGTGTCTTCACCTCTGACCTGTTCTGCTTTCAGGGGCAAGGAACACTTCTCCTTCGGCGAGCTGCCCGGGCACCTGATGCCAACCGTAGCCTCGCTGGCAGAAGCCTTGCGGCAGTCCGCGGAGCTGGCGGAACTCGAGGCCAATGAAGCCTCACAGAGCTCCCAAGCAAAGGACCACCATACATGCGTGAGCCACAATGCGTGCAGATGAGTCGTTCTGATTCTGAGTCCGCCTTACAAGTGGAGGAGAGCCCGGAAGCCGAGAACCTCAGCGAGCAGCTCGACCGGTTGATCGCCAAGTACGAGGCCTCCGATGGTGACGAGGCCTCAAAGGAGGCATTGGCTCTGACGCCGGAGCGTTTTGAAACGCTTGAGCCTTCCCAGCCTTCCCGGCCTTCCTGTTCTGCCTCGCGGTGGTTGCAGGACTTCGTTCTCTTGTGCGAAGCTGTCCGGGAAAAGCTCCTGCTCTTGCCTTCTGACCTGGACATGAGCACTGCGCGCCTTGCAGTGGCTCTAGCTGCCACGGACCTTGGGGCCGGTCTCAAGGAACTTCGAGAAGACTTTCCTTTGGACTTTCCTGAAAGCGAAAGTGAGGAGCTTCACTGGCTTTATGGAGATGCTTCAATTTTCCAATTCCTGTCCACTGCCGATGCCTGCTGGGGCCTCTGCTGCCAACAGAAGCTACTCGTGGACATACTGTTCCCCCGGAGTAAAAGGGCTCCTTGGAGTTGGCAAAGTTTCCGGCTTTGTGGTGTGGCTTGGTGGTTGGAGATGCCGTTGCTGGACCAGCTCATCACCAGGCTTGCCCAGGCCTCCACAGCAAAATTGCGCTGTGCAAGCACTACCTGGACACAGAAAAAAAATGATGTTTGGGGTGTAGCCCCTGCGGAACAGGAGACTTTTGCACGCAGGTTGGCGGTGGACGAAGCGGTTTTTTGGTCCGTGCTGCTGGGGGCCACGGTCTCAAGGCTCAAGGCCTTGGTGCGTACCGGGCTCTTTCGCGAAGAGAAAACAAAAGAAAGTACAAAGCTGGCCCAGCTCTTCGAGCACCCCAAGGCCCAGGCGGCCCAGAGTGACACGAATGGTGACGGTTCGAATGGCTTCTTGCGGAAGAATGCATTCCGATGTTTGGAGCTCCACCGCTTTCATCTCGCAGCTGCACTCTTTCTGCTCAGTGGCAGCTGTGCAGAGGCCTGCCAGGTGGTCCAGCGCCACCTCAAAGACCTCCAACTCTGTGTCCTTGTCGCCAGGAAGCGGAATGACCTTGAGGTGCTGCGGAGCACCATGCAGAACACCCTTCAGAATCAGAACCATTGCTGCCATAACGATCCCTGGCTTCGTTTCTTGCTTGCCTGGCATGCGGGCACAAAGATGGAAGCTGTCAACGCTGCGAATGCCGCCGCTGCGAATGCCGATGCTGCCGCTGCAGCTGCAGGTGTTGGGCTGCCGACGGAAGCTGCCGGACCCTCAGCTGAGACCTTCCCTTTGTTGACTGCCTTTTCCTCACTGTTTCGAGGCTGGGCTCTTCGACAACTCCCTACGTGTTTCTGTCGAAAACTCTTTGCTGTCAGAAGTTGCAGCAACTCTCCGTGAGTAGTTCAGCACTCATGGCTTGAAGCCCTGTTAATGATCGGCGTTGCCGAACGGCAATGTGCTGCAGGGACGGATGTCCAAAACAGCCGTGCTTTCGCGCCTTTTTTGCGCCAGAGTGTATCTGTGTGTAAAGCGTGAGAGCGCCTGTAGAGCACGAAGGAGGTCGGTTCAAGCGTTTTCCTTGCGGACACCCTTGGCATGATGGGGCAATGATCTCTTAGGTAGTGTTTTTTTCTCGGATTTTTGAAAAGCTGGGGGTTGGGAGGGTAAGGCAGGTGTGCAGCTCCCCTTTCGTTTGTGTCAAGGAGTCGCCTCTAGATGTATAGACTTGTGGGTACACTCTCCGGCTCCTTGCCTTTGCAACCTTTGCCTGTGATCCGCATCTCCTCATGGGCTCAGGATATCCTTCAGTCAACAGGCTTTCCGAATCTGTAGCGGGTCGTACGGCTGCCATGGAAGCGCAAAAAGCTGCGATCTAAGCTACGATTGTGTGCCATAGCTTAGCACTGGTTGTGTGCTTCTGGCTGGTCAGTCGCCTTGAGGGCAAGGCTTGGGTGTAAGCCAGCCGGACCTCGGTATCTGCTCCAGTTTTTGGAGAAGCATCTGTTGAGAACCCCTATCAATGATTTGGACCGCAGATTGGAAGATAGGCCACAGAGTGCTACAGGCTGAAAGGGTCCCTTGGCAAAATCAAGGCATCCAAGTCTCCCTTGACGGAGAAGAGTGTGAAGAGGCTCGGAAATGGCCGT